TATCCTAACTATAAGATAAGGCCAAGGACTAATGAAAGTATTTAGAAAATTGGGCAGACTAGAGGGGCCGAAAAGTTCTTATCTGCCGTCACATTCTATGTTTATAAATGATCTTGAAGAAAGCATTGGAAGCCATGTTTCAGTGTTTGAAGATGACCCAAAACTCTGTAAAATAATACAATGTGAGCAAGATATTACTTTGCTGCAGAGGGGTTTAGATAGACTGGGGGACTGGGCACTCAAATGAAATGTAATGTTGAAAAAAGTTGTGCACTTCAGTGTAAAGAATACAAAAGCAACGTTTACCCTTAAGGGAAGCGAATTAGGGATAACAACACACGTAAAGGACTTTGGAATTGACAACAAACTATGCAACAATGTGCAATGTCAATCAGCAGTGGCCAAGGCCAAGGCCAGTAAGGTATTGTCATGCATGAAAAAGGGCATTCATTCTCAAGACGAGAATATAATTGTGCCTCTTTATAAATCACTGGTAAGACCACATATTGAATATGCTGTGCAATTTTGGGCACCTGTTCTAAAGAAGGATATTATGGTAGTAGAAAAAGTGCAGAGGTGGGCTACAAAATTAATAAAATGAATGGAACATATCAGCTACGAAGAAAGGTTAACAAATTTAAACCTCTTTAAACGTCGCCTGAGAGGGGATATGATAACATTATACAAATATATTCGGGGCCAATACAAACCATTGTGTGGAAATCTATTCACAAACTGGACTTTACATAGGACACAAGGTCATGCGTTTAGACTGGAAGAAAGAAGATTTCGTCTAAGGCAAAGGAAAGGTTTGTTTTTTTTACTGTAAGAATAATAAGAATGTGGAATTCTCTGCCTGAAGAAGTGGTTTTATCAGAGTCCATACAGATGTTCAAACAGCTACTAGATGCATGCTTGCAAAAACAGAATATTCAAGGATATAATCTTTCAATGTAGGGTAATAACTGCTTGATCCAAGGATAAATCTGACTGTCATTCTGGGGTCAAGAAGGAATTTTATTTACTAATATTTAGTAATTATTACATAGTATTAGTAAAGTAGGCTAAAAGACCTTTAGTAGATAGCTCCCTAATACTGTAGGAATTAGGGAGTTATTTACTAAGTGGCGAATGTAGCAATGCAAAAACACAGGAGGAGAGGTGAGTATCGTGGGAAAATGTATTTGACCACAGGAAATGGAGCAGACTTAAAGGGACACTATAGTCCCCAGAACAACTACGGCTTATTGAATTTGTTCTGGTGTGTAGAATCATTACCTTTAGGCTTTTATTATTATTTTCAGAGAAAATGCAGTGTTTACATTAAAGCCTAGTGATAACTTCACTGGCCGCTCCTCAGATAGCTGTTAGAGATCCTTCCTGGGTCATGGCTGCCTAAAATGCATCCAAACATTCGGTGTCTCCACCCTCTGCATGCAGACACTGAATTTTCCTCATCGAGATACATTGATTCAATTCATCTCTATGAGGAGATGCTGATTGGCCAGGGCTGTGTTTGAATCATGCTGGCTCTGCCCCTGATCTGCCCCCTTGTAAGTCTCAGCCAATCCTATGGAGAAGCACTGTGATTTGATCAGGCTACCACTTCTGATGATGTCAGCAGTCTGCTTGTTTTTATGAGGCAGACAGGGCAGAACCAGCAGCTTCAGGCTTGAATACAGTAAGATTTTTACTATATTTATGGAGGCATGAGGTGCCCAGGGACTAGATGGTGGTTTTAACACTATAGGGTCAGGAATACACGTTTGTGTTCCTGACCCTATAATGATCCTTTAAGCTCCAACTTTGGTCAAACCTCCACCTTTGGAAAAATACATAAGACAAAGTATGTATTATGAAAACTAGATCAGAAAGTAAGAAAAGAACAGATCCTAAGAGAGGAAGTGAAGAGAAAGCCATTGGGGAAAAGTAAGTTCGCCATGACGGTGCCGCTTTAAGTGGAACTGGAAAAAAAATAAAACATGAAGAAGAGATTCATATCAACTTTGTCCTAGACCCAAGGTTCTTGTAGTTACAATATGACACGACTCCATGGGGGTGGGATTGTGGTCATATTTCACAAAACCGTTTGCATGAGACCGAGCTGGTGAACAGTAGAAATGGTATAACATCCGTTACTCAGGTGGTTGTATACTAAGTGTCATGAACGCACCCTACTCCAAGCTTGTGTGTGAAGTAGTTGTGGTGGTGAAAGGGTTAAAGTTCACTATTTTTAATGATAATGATAAAATCCCCCTTAACACCACCCACACTTCTGCATAATAATATAAATATTACTCTTTTAATGCTGCCACCACCAAGACAATTTATAAATGGGGTGCCTTGGTCCCCCAGGTAACTTAAAACTAAAAACGCACCACATACAACTTAGCACAATACCTATGCAATTGCCAAACACTCATTAATAATATCTTCAGGTAATGTGATACTTTACCAGACAAAGGCAGAACAAAAAATAGTCATAGTGCATACAAAAATATAGATGGCAATCAAATTAGTTACGCCAACAACAGATAAAAACAAAAGTGATAAAATAATATAAGTCCTAATCACTTACTCCTTAGGTTTTCAAAGTAAAGCTTCTGCCGCAGGGATCCCTGTCAAGGAAGATGGTGACTCACTCAAAATTAGATTTTCGCCTCAAGCAAGTACAATACACATTTCAGTATCATTGGATATATACCCTTTGGATTGCCAAACCTGGCCCAAGGGTGGAGATTAGGCGTACCTATAGAGACAATAAATGACCACCCCCTTGTGTTCCAGACAAAAATCAATCCAAATAGAAACATTTTCTCCTCTTTTGTACTTGCCACTGAAATAATTATTGCATCTATGAATGGGTTATCATATTTCCATTCCATAGATATGTCACACTTCTTACTTGTGATCCAATATAGCGGACATCAAAATCCCGCCCAGTGGCATACGTTATGCAACTCCTGTTTAGGCTTGATTAGGAAACTGCTTGTCCCATTCTAAATATAATAAAAATGAGGCTTAGTTATTCATCTGTGGCTAAGTATTAATGTTTCTTTTGGATATGATACTGGAACACAAGGTTAATGGCCATTAACATATCAAAGGACCCACCCACCCCTATCTAGGAGGGAATCTAGATATATGGCAAATTAGAGAGTTAGTTTATATTTAAACCTGACTTTACAATAAATTACAATATTCCATAGTGCAGCAATGAATTATGCACCCTTTCCGTGACACTAAGTATGACAGGGTATGTTTGTGTTTTTTTTTGTTTTTTTTCCTTTTTTCCACACACAGAGTTTAGGATAGCAAGGGACAAGAATATAACGTATTACCGTGCCTCAGAATGGCAAGACTAAACGTCAGACAGAGATAAAGCGTAATCAGAGATGAGATGAAGTTAGGGTAACAGAAAGCTAGTGAAAATGAGTCAGGTACATGGTAGTCAGACAGGGAAACAAGACAGGAAAGGGTTAAAGATAAACTCAGTCAGGAACAAAACCAAGGTCAATACCAGAATAAACACAATAGATCAAGGAACGCACTAAAGGATACTGAAACAGAAACCACTTTATGGTAAAGTGGATAGGGAAGTTTAAATAGCCTTTAATATTTGATTGGCTCACGACATGCCTACCCCCACCAAAACGTGTGTGCGGGGAGGGGGGGTGCCGGAATGACGTGGGCCAATGGGAGCCTGAAACCACTTGTGGCTCCCACTGTCCCTTTAACCCCTTAAGGACACAGCTTCAGAAGCTTGTCTTACGCTTAATGACACAAGCAATTTTTGCATTTTCTTGCTGTATGCGTTCAACTGCAATTTGCATCTCTCTCGTTTATTGCACCGACACATATTATATACTGTTTTTTAAAGGACATAAAGGGCTTTAATTTGATGTAACATATATATATATAAATGCTTATTTATTATTTAAAAATACAGAAAAATGCAAAAAAAAGAAAAATTTTGTGTTTTTTTGTACAGTTTTTGCAATAATAATGTGTGCCTAATTAGTGCAGGTTAAAGAAAGTAATTAAAAATAAATTTATTTAGTTGTTCTGATTTACAAAATATATAATGTGTCTGGGATTTAAAGTTTTTTTTGGTAGTTACAGGTCATAAAGCACAAGGAGTAAAATAAACTTTTAATGTAGAGCGATTTTAGAATTTTGTATGTTTGTCTTGTAAGCTTAATAGCCATAAAAGAAAACAAAATTGCCACACAAAAGTATATATTTATATAAAGTAGACATCACAGGCTATTGTCCTAAGGTTTTTTTGACACTTTCTAAGTAGCCATTTCACCGCCAATCTCTGCTAAATATTGGAGTAAAATTTAGTTTTTTGGAGTTTTTGGCACACAAACTTATAACAAAGAACTTCCCATGTATATTTTGTAAAGTTGGTGTGTGCTATTCCTTATTTTGTGTTCAGTTACTTCTGCTGAGTACAACGATACCCCCATTGTATGTCTTTGGCACTATTTCGTGAAGCTACAGTGCCATATAGGAGACCTGTCCGTTTCAACATTTACAGTAGAATTTTGAGAGGCGGATTTAATGAGCCTATGCTTCAATTTGGGGTACTATAGCAGTTTGACTGTTCAAAAAAAAACCACAAAGGCCTACCATTTATAAAAGTAGACACTCCAGGGTATCTCATATGGTGCATATTGTGCCTTAACATGCCCCCATTTTTTCACCAATATATGCCAAAGTATGTGGTAAAAAATAATTTTTTGGCATTTTTTACATACAGATTACATTTTTGCTGGGCATTTTGTACATTTCATATGTGCCACTAAGTTCAAACCCCCCAAATTATGCTCAGCTAAGTCTTCTGAGTAAAACAATATGCCCAATGTATGACCTAGACACTATTTTGTGAAGTTACACTGCTATAAAAGAGACGTAACAAGTTAAGGTTTTTAAGTGAGAATTTTCATGGAGGGTTTTGATGCGTCCGTGCCCACTTTGGAGCACTTGAGCAGGCTACATATTACAACTACACCATAAAGGCATACCATTTCTTAAAGAACACATCCCAGGGTATTTCAAAAGGCATATTTTGAACCTTAACGTGGGATAATTTTTCCGCTAGCTTGTACCAAGTGTAATGGTAATAAGCGTTTTTTTTGCCTTTTTGACACACAAAGTAAATTTGCGCAGTACATTTTGCAAATCTTATGTGTGCTACGACTGTATAATACTTCATATGTTGCTCAGCTATGTCGGCTGAGTACATCAATACCCCCGTATGTACCTTTGCCAGGTATATGTGGACATCGGAGGGGCACATTTGGGACGCAGCCATTCCAGTTCATTTCAAACTTTAAATTTTTACACTGTTCCCATGTCCCATTTTAGAGTATTTTACCAGGCTATATAATCCAAATACCCCATAAAGCCATACCATTTCTTAAAGAAGACATCCCGGGGTAATTCAAAAGGCATATTTTGAACCTTAGCGTGGGATAATTTTTCCGCTAGCTTGTACCAAGTGTAGTGTAATAAGCATTTTTTCTGCCTTTTTGACACACAAAGTGAGTTTGCGCAGTATATTTTGCAAACCTTATGTGTACTACGACTGTATACTACTTCATATGTTGCTCAGCTATGTCGGCTGAGTACATCAATACCCCCGTATGTACCTTTGCCAGGTTTATGTGGACATTGAAGGGGCACATTTGAAACACAGCCATTCCATTTTTTTTAAACTTTGAATTTTTACGCTGTGTCCATGTCCCATTTTAGAGTATTTTAAAAGGCTATATAATCCAATTACACCATAAAGGCATACCATTTCTTAAAGAAGACATCCCGGGGTAATTCAAAAGGCCTATTTTGAACCTTAGCGTGGGATAATTTTTCCGCTAGCTTGTAGCAAGTGTAGTGGTAATAAGCATTTTTTCTGCCTTTTTGACACACAAAGTGAGTTTGCGCAGTATATTTTGCAAACCTTATGTGTACTACGACTGTATACTACTTCATATGTTGTTCAGCTATGTCGCTGAGTACAGCAATACCCCCGTATGCAGGGCCGGCCTTAGGGGTGTGCGAGCTGTGCGACCGCACAGGGCGCCATGGAACAGGGGGCGCCCTGTGGCTGACACAGCTCACTCATGGCCGGAGTGCAGGGGAGCTAAAAGAGGTACCTGGCTGGAGGATTAATTATTCTCCACCCGGGTCTATTTAAAAAAAAAAAAAAAAATCGCGGCAGAGGGGGCGGGGTTTACCGAGCGGCGGAGGCGGGGCTTATCGAGAGGCGGAGACGGGGCTAATACCTCCCGAAGCCCCTGCTGTACAGGAAGAGGGAAAGATGCTTCCCATCAGCCAACTGCATCCACTGGAAAGAGGTAAGTGTGTGTGTGTGACTGTTTGCCTGTTTGTGTGACTGTCTGTCTGTGTGTGTGTGTGACTGTCTGTCTGTGTGACTGCCTGCCTGTGTACGTGTGACTGTCTGTGTGTGTGTGTGTGTGTGACTGCCTGTCCTTGTGTGTGTGTGTGTGTGTGTGACTGTCTGTCTCTGTGTGTGTGTGTGACTGTCTCTGTGTGTGACTGTCTCTGTGTGTGACTGCCTGCCTGTGTGTGACTGTCTGTGTGTGTGACTGTCTGTCTGTGTGTGTGACTGCCTGTGTGTGTGACTGCCTGTATGTGACTGCCTGCCTGTGTGTGTCTGTCTGTAACTATCTGTCTGTGTGTGACTGCCTGCCTGTGTGTGCGACTTTCTATCTGTGTGACTGCCTGCCTGTGTGTGTATAACTGTCTATGTGTGTGTTACTGTGTGTCTGTCTGTGTGTGTGACTGCCTATGTGACTGTCTGTCTGTGTGTCGCTGTAGCTGTGCCATTGTTTGTGCCTGTGCCTGTATGTGTGACTGCCTTTAACTGAGTGTGTGTGTACATGCCTGTAACCGAGTTTAAATTTCCCCACCCCTTCCTGTCAAGGCCGCACTTTGACTGACAGACGCTCACTCACTGACAGACGCACACTCACTGACAGACACACACTCTCATATACACTGACAAACAATGACATACACACATACACTATTACTTGGATACACACTGACAGATGCACACTCTCACTGACAGACGCAAGCACTCACTGAAAGATGCACGACTCCACTGACCGACACATACACACTGACTGACACACACTCACTGACCGACACACACTCACTGACCGACACACACTCACTGACCGACACACACTCACTGACCGACACATACACACTCACTGACTTACACACTCACTGACCGACACACACTCACTGACGACACATACACACTCACTGACGACACATACACACTCACTGACTGACACATACACACTCACTGACTGACACATATACACTCACTGACTGACACATATACACTCACTGACCAACACACATTCACTCACAGACACACACACATTCACTTACAGACACACACAATTACACACTTACAGACACACACACACACACACACACATTCACTTCAAAATAAACACTCACAGACACACACACAGACATTTCCACTAACACTCACAAACTAATATTTTTTACATTTATTTTAAATCCACCCAGCCTCCCTGGGAAAGCTGGAGTGGATTTCTTACCAGCAGTCCAGTGTGGCTGCTGGGCAGGCAGGCAGGGGGCGCACAGGCTGAGTAAGCAGCGCTTAGTGATGCCGGGAGCCGGACTGACGTCATATTCTGGCTCCCGGCTTCATTAAGCGGCGCAGAGGAAGCTGAGCAGGAAGAGCTCAGGTGAGTATGCTCCTTCGCTGCCCGCTGCCAGCCTTGGGGGGGCTCAAAAGTGGCCAGCCGGTCAGCTCTTGAGCCCCCCAGGATGCGAGGCAAGCAAGGGATCTGCCTGGGGGTTTGGAGGGATGCTTTTTTTTGCCGCCCCCTGCAAAGTGGCGCCCAAGGCAGATGCCTTGTTTGCCTCGTGATACACACGTCCCCGGTGCCTGTGTGTGTTACTGTATTCAGGCAACTTGGTGGGAGGTGGGGGGGGCGCCGTGAAGACTTTTTGCACAGGGCGCCTAATTGCCTAAGGCCGGCCCTGCCCGTATCTACCTTTGCCAGGTATATGTGGACATTGAAGGGGCACATTTGAGACACAGCCATTCCAGTTTTTTCCAAACTTTGAATTTTTACGCTGTGTCCATGTCCCATTTTATAGTATTTTACAAGGCTATATCATCCAATTACACCATAAAGGCATATCATTTCTTAAAGAAGACATCCCAGGGTAATTCAAAAGGCATATTTTGAACCTTAGCGTGGGATAATATTTCCGCTAGCTTGTACCAAGTGTAGTGGTAATGAGCATTTTTAAATGTATTTTTTTACTTTGTAAAACTTTTTTTACTTTGTAAAACCCATTTTTAAACTTTTTTTTTTACTTATTAAATGTTTTACACTATCTTAACTTTTTTTACACTTTTAATTTTTTTTCTAAACTTTTCTTTTACCGTTAACCCCTAACTAGCAGTAAGCAGCACTAACCGTAAATTCCCCATTTTCCCATAACTCCCACCCACCCCAGCTAGCAAAATATTTAATTATAAAATATTTAAATTAATTAATTAAATAAATGGAACCCCTGAGGGTTAAAAAAAATAAATAAAAGTTAATCCTCAGGGGTTAAAAAAATTAGATCACAGTATAATACTGTGATCTGTATTTTGATCACTGTAGGCAGTGATCAGCTGGCAGGGAAGGGGTTAATTTTTATTTAGACTGGGTAAAGGGGGTGGTATTTTTTTTTTTTTTACTTAAACGTTACTAAAACATTTAAAAAAAAATTTTTTTTTACCTTTTTAAAGCTTATTTTAAAACTTTTTTAACGTTAACCCCTAGTTAGCCTAACAAAAAATTCCCCAATTCCCCACTAACTTCCACCCATCCCAGCTAGCTAAATATATAATTTTTTAATATTTAAATTAATTAATAAAATAAATTTAACCCCTGAGGGTTAAAAAAAAAAATAATTAACCCTCAGGGGTTAAAAAAAAAAATCAGATGACATTAAAATGTATACCCTGCCAATTGATCACTGTAGTCAGTGATCAATTGGCAGGGAAGGGGTTAATTTTATTAAAACAGGGGCAGGGGGGGTGGGATTTAACTTTAATTTTTTTTTTTTTTTTACACAGGGAAGCAGATCAGCACTGATCCGTCTCCCTGCACTTCACACAGAACCCGGAAGTGCAGGGAGGCGGAAGGTGAGTATGTGGAGCACATGTGCTCGCTCTGACATGCTGTCAGAGCGAGCACCGGTGCTGGGGCAGCCCGATCGGGTGCTCCCGGTCTGCCTCTAATGCAGAGGCAGACCGGAGCACCGTTAACCCCGCGATTGCCGCGATCGCGGCAATCTGGGGTTAACTTAAGAAAATGACGGAAATTTTCCGTCAACGGTCCTTAACTGAAGGACAAGGTTGACGGAAAATTTCCGTCCACGGTCGGGAAGGGGTTAAAGACACATTACTGCGAGTATTATTGCTGTGGAGCTCTGCTATACCCTCAGACACACCAACAATATGGAGCTCCTAGAAAAGACGGACATTAGGAGAGAAAAGAGGGATACATGGATTTAAGCCCTAAATAGGGACATTTGGGTGATATATAAAGTGCAGAAAGCCAGTGCCTACTCTGCCTAATGGGAAATCTGGCCCTGGCAACATTTGATATGTCTTTATTTAAAGGAACACTATAGGGGCAGGAATACAAACATCTATTCCTGACACTATAGTGCTAAACCCACCATTAAGGTGGCTTGATCCCCCCCTTAATAGGAATTAAAACTCACCTCATTTTCAGCGCCGGGCGGATCTGCCGGCGCTGGCACCGCCCCCTTGGTGACATCATCAAAACTGACGATTTTTAACCAATCCAATACTTTCCCATATGGAAAGCATTGGATTGGATAAAATCTGCAAGGGGACGGGGCCAAACACCATATTGGCCAATCAGCACCTCCTCGTAGAGATGCATTGAATCAATACATCTCTATGAGGAAGATTCAGCATCCCTATGCAGTGCGTGGAGATGCTGAACAGCAGTGCTGCCTACTGTGCAGCACTGCCCCAGGAAAAAAAATCCTGCTTCCAGCCAGTACAAACCACATGCACACTCCACACACAGCCAGCACACACCACGTCCACACTGTACACACACCACATTAACACACAGTCAGCACATACATTACTTACATCC